TTTGTGGTTTTGACTCAAATTAGTGATAAATGAACTCTTTGGAATACTTTGTCTGACAAAAAGCTGTACCTTTTTTCTATATTTTTTTTGTCAAGTACCTTTAGAATTCTTTTCGGAGGAATTCGAGATGGCTCCCTGTCTCTTTTCCTTCTTCGATTCAAGGTTTCTTTAAAAAAAACTTCACCCTTCTCAAAATTGTATGAAACATTTAATGTCAAGTCTGAGATTAATGAGATCTCCATCTTATCGAAGTCAATAACAGCAAAGAAAATAAAGAATGCAGTCCAAGTATTCCTTTAACGGTCAAACATTTAATTATACAATAAACCAGCCAATAAGCTCAGTGCTACCTGTACATGTTCATCTTAAGGCCACTACATGGACATGCCTATCACAAACCTGTACAGCATTCCTTGGCTTTAAACATCAAAATGCATTCTTAAGGTATCACAGAAGGAAAATTCAGGTGTTTGCATTCTAAGTGAAATTGTGTGCAAACCATCAATGCTAACCCCAATAAAGTATATCGTCTGAAAGATAATTGAGTGTAGATTGTATTTTTGGATTTTGTTTTGATAATATATACCATAATAAGCAATGTTAGCATTTGCTTGCGATTCTGAAGTTGTACAACATTAGGTTTATTCGAGAACACGTTTACAAGAAACACCTAGACTTTTGTGTGGAATTTGATCTACATATAATGGTCTAAAAAACGGTGTCTCAGATTTTTCTTTTATTGCTCCATTATTTTTTTAAACTTGAAAAAGCACAATAAACTCCTCTTTTAAGTTAAAAATTCATAAAAAATGGAGCATCAAAAGAAAAATCAGACACTGTTTCTTAAACCAATATGTGTAGATCAAATTCCACATAAAAGTTTAGGTGTTCATGTAAACATGCTCAGGAATAAACCAAATGTTGCACAACGTCAGAATCGCAAATAAAATGTTGACATTGCTTATTATGGTCTATATGACTAAGACAAATAGATATCTTATATTCATTAAGCTTTCAGACGATATATACTTTATTGGGGTTAGCATTGATGGTTTGTACACAATTTCACTTGGAACAGAAACACCAATTTTTCTTCCGTGATACCTTAATTGGAAGGAGACCTATTCAAAAACTTTAAGACAGCTGAAAACAGTTCCCACACACTCTTTGGATTCAACGCTGACGGGAGTCCAAGCACACACGCTCAAGGCTTTGAGAGAAACAAGATTTAAATGCTGCATGTGCACAGTTGATCAAAAGTTGCAAATGAATGTTTTCGAGTTTGTTGTACACAAGTGATGAAAAAGATTTAATGACTGAATTTTCTGAAATCGAGCAGAAGTCAAATTTTTTATTTATATTTAGTTGGGTTTCCATGATAATGCAACATGGTCATCAACAACTAGCAAAAACTACAAATACAGTGACTTATCTCGTAACCTGTCAAGTTTGAGCTCGTCAGCTGCAGCGGTTTTGGTGTGAAAGCAAAATAAAGGATAGGTACTCCAAAGATTGGAAACTGTGTTCAGCCACCTTAAGCTTATTATATCATGCATAACAGAAGAGCCTGAAAAACACAGAGTGACTGATCATGAAGCAACATCCTAAGTAACTCTGTCAAGTGCTACATCTGCATATTGAAACCTTATTTTGCAGAAGAAATGAGGCAACTACTCCTATGTAAGTGTTTTGGTCTCTGTTTCTTGACAAAGTTAAGCCCATTTTCTTGGCTTCTTTTCTCAGCGGAATCTCATTGCTTTCAGTTGCCCCAAGCCAAACAAGCATGATGCTACCTATGCACGCCTATCACACTGCTGTGCAGCATTCCTTTAACTTAAACGTCCATCTTTAAACTGGAAAAAAACTTATTCGAGAAGTTTTCATTCACAACACAACAGCTTGCAAAAAAAACACAGAGCAGCTACGAACTGGTCATAAGTAAGGTTTTTGAGTAACTGATCATGAAACATCCTGACTGATGGAGACACCATCTTGAGAAACCTTATCAAATGCTACGCCAGCAGCAATTGAAACCTTTTTGTTTTGCACAAGAAATGAGGCTACTGCTCGTAGGTAAGTGTTTTTGTCTTTGTTTCGTAAGAAAGTCATGCCCATGCTCTTGGCTTCCTTTTTCAAATCATCAAGTCGGATCTCATTGCTGGCTGTTTTCCCAAACCAGACAAGAAGAATGGCAGTTGCTGACATCAAGCTCAG